TATTAATCAATCACCAATCGCGTATCGTGGTTGACTCTAAAGAAGAAAGAAGGTTAATTTGTCTTGTTTTCAAAAGGGAATATTAAATGCTTTTCGAAGTACATAATAAATACCTACAAAATTCGAAGAGTCAATTTAATAAAGTAAACATACAAAACGATACATTAAAGTCATCTTTGACCCATCCATATAATATATATAGATTTGGAGTAAGAAGCAAAAGCATGTACACATGAAATGGAGGTTGCGGAAACTAAAAGGTTAAAACATTACAATAACAAAGAAAAAATACTTCTGGTCGGAGAAGGAGACTTCTCCTTTTCTCTGTCTCTTGCTGGAGCCTTTGGTTCTGCTTCTAACCTCACTGCAACCACTCTCGATACTCGAGGTAAATCAAAATCTACTACTAACATATATACATATATCTTAATTTCGTTACTGTGTGTTATGTGATATAATACATAGATACCAAGTTTTATATACTTCTGAACAATTCGTTAATATAAATGTTTTGCATTATACTAATTAGAGTAATAGATATTATGACCTTAGTCTTTAGTCGAGTGATCTCAAATGTGTTAAGGTTTCTTGATATATTTTGTACAACCCGATTTTCATTATAATATGTGTGATAGGAATTATTATCCGGGATCATATCCGCCATCTGTTCGAATCCGCTCCGAAAATTAGGATATTTGGAAAGTCCGGATCCGGATAAATAAAGTAAAATCTAGTATCCATGAAAAGAGGATTCGGATCTGGACAGCAAAATTTTAAGGTCTGGATATCTGGATCTGAATCCATACGCATTCAATTTATTAAAATCATATCTATTTTACATATATTAAGCTATTTTTATAAAAATATATATATATAAACTGATTTTAGTTCTTTTTATAATATATCATATTGATTATGAAAAAAATATCATTCTCAATTTTAGCTAATAATTTTTTAAAATTTTATTTATTTTTATTTATTTATTAATTATTTTAATTATTTTTATATCAATTTCGGATCTGGATCCAGAACTGGATATCCGCGGATATCCTGGGTTTTGGTCGAATTTCCAAAATCCGGATATTCGGAGGCCACAAATCCGGATCTGGATACTTTTATCATAGATCCCACGAATCCGGATACTCTGATATCCTGAAATTCCAGGATTTCCGGATCTGTCCCACCCTAATGTGTGACATCGATAAAGCGCACGAGTGGATCCGAATAAGGATAATAAAATCTAGTATCTATGAAAAGATAATTTGGATCCGGATAGCAAAATTTTAAGGTCCGGATAGCAAAATTTGGATCTATACGCATGAAATATATTAAAATCTATTTTACATATATTAAGCTATTTTTATAAAAAAATATATATATAAAAATTGATTTTAGTTCTTTTTATAATATATTATATTGATTATGAAAAATATCATTCTAAATTTTAACTAATCATTTTTAAAATTTTATTTTTTATTTATATATTAATTATTTTTATATTAATTTCGGATCTGGATCTGGATATCCGCGGATATCCTGATTTTTGGTCGGATATTCGGAGGCCACGGATCTAGATCTGGATACTTTTACCATGGATCCGTCCTACCCCTAATGTGTGACATCGATAAAGTGCACGAGTGGTATTTTCAGTTTTACTCTTGTCTATATCAACTGGAGCAAATATTATCTTACAATATTAATTAATTTCTTAAAATTTTGCAACAAAACAAGCACATAATACGTGACGATCTTTGACATAATAGATGAAACATGGTCTAATAGGGTACATGAGGCACAAAACATTTATGTATCATA